GTCTCTGACAATGCTGGCTCTTTGGCTTAGTAACGGAGATGAGCACAGGCCCCTATGGTTGGACACAACTTGACAATCTTGTCAACAGGGAATACATTTACCTTTACCTTTTATCTTACTATGCCATTGTATTTAATGGGGCTTCAGCATTTATGGATTTTGGTATCCACGAGGGATCCTGGAACCCCAGCAGATACCAAGGTCCGACTGTATATTGGCACCTTGAACACTGTTTGCAGCAACTGTAGTAAACCAAGAACAAACGGGGAGGTGGGAGGAGGAGGGAGAAACTGGGACATTTGAAAAGCAATGGGAAAATGCGGGACAACAGAGGATTTATTAGGACTGTCCCTGCCAAACAGGACAACTGGAGGGCATGCACTTTGTTTCAAAGTTGCTAGTAGATTCCTTCTCACCACCCACTTTTCCTTTTAGACTATCACTGCTGTCACTCTGGAAAGTGATCATTTAGGTCAACCTTTCCTGTAAGCATCTCCCCCTGCTTGCCCTTGCTGGCTGCCCAGTGGCCTAGGATAATTTGCCAGCCCATCGCTTGCAGCCAAGAAAAAGGTTGAATGCATCTCCGCTGCGGGAGGCAATGATGGGCATTCCATTAGACTGAGAGCAGGACGTACAGGAGAACCTCTCACAAAGGATTCCCTCTTGCGCTCCACAATACAATGATCTCCCTTTTTGTATTGAGCATGTAACATTACAGAGCCTGTCAGCTTCCATTGCAAGTGACGACTCGGATAAATCTCTCTGTTTTTCCTTTGCTTTTCTCCCTGCATTGTTTCAAGCCGCGACAGTCAGACATGAAAAATGGAAGGACATGGCTGGCTTTTGTGGGACAGAAACCCACCTGTGCAATGGACTGGAAAAGGTTTGGCAAGGCCTGTGTTTTGCGATTCCTTCACAATTAGTCAACAGCAGGGATATGGGCAAATGTTTTGGGCAATGCAGTATAGAAAGAGAGAAGGAAGAACAAAGGCAGGAGAGAAAAACTGGTCTAAATGGCCCTTATCCGAGTAATCAAAGAACCACAACACAATTATTCTTTGGTTTGTTTGCTTGCTTGAATGTTATGTTGCATACATCAGGGAAAATTGGCCCCCAAAATCATACATTAGCAGGAAAATAGCTCAGGAAAGAAATATATTAGGGAAAATGGCTTGCAGAACGCACGCATATTAAGGAAAATTGAGACACATTTTTATGTGGATACAAATGCACAGAAAAAAATGCATACAAAATTCCATTTTTTCATATACTTGTTTTGTGTGGGGAAGAGACATTTGCAAGCCAATGTGAAATGAACGGTGCTGCAGTGGGATGGACAGATTCTTGCAGAAAGTGACAGACAGATTTCCCCCCCCCCCCCTTTGCTTAACACAGGAATGGAGGTCTGCACCACACACAAACACACTCCTGGTTTGTAGGCCAGAGTAGTATACCAAGGAAGGTATAAATATGCTCAAAGTGGATACTTTTGTTAATGAACAAGGGAGTGTGAGTTTAGGGAAAACTCTAGAGCAGGGGTAGGCAACCTTTCCCCTTTAAGGGCCGAGGGACTTCAGCTCCCAGAATCCCAGGAGCTATTGGCCAACATGGGACTATTGGCCAACATGGCTGAGGCTTCTGGGAGCTGAAGTCCCTCGGCCCTTAAAGGGGAAAGGTTGCCTACCCTTGCTCTAGAGGGCCAGATTCACCCCAGATCCTGAGATTCTCCATCTGATATAAAGCTTGGGAGAAATCCACTGGGTGACCTTGGGCAAGTCACATTGTCTCAGCCACAGAGGGCGGCAATGCCAACCCCCCTCTGAAAAAACTTGCCAAGAAAACCCCATAAAAGGGTTGCCTTAGGGTCACCATAAGTTGGATATGACTTGAAAGATACACAACAACAACAACAACAACAACAACAACAAAGTATGTCCAATGCAATCCAATAATCTTTTTAGTAGAGTGTAAATGTGAATCCAGCTTACCTTGCATCCAAACTCTGCTATAGTTTACCAAACCACCAGTGACTTGGGGATTCTCCAAGGATGTTCTACACTTGTCAGTAATAATAAACAATAAAAATAAATCTATTATTATTACATACATTTCTACCCTGCCTTTTTCTTTGTCTAGAACTCAAAGTGGCATGCATACAAATGTTAAATATGATTCAGAACAGACTAAAGTTTTTAAAAATGGAATGCAATGGTCAGTGGAATCAGCAGCTGTTAAAATATGGCCATTAAAAAGGAAACAGACAAAAGAACAAATATTGACAATACCATACATTCTGAAAAGCCCTTTCCCTGGAGCGATGAGCCCTCAATGACCTGCTAACACAGAAAGGCCTTCCCTTGGCTATGGAAGGACTGCAAGAAATGTGTCAATCTGACCTTTCTTTCTAAGAAAGGAATGGCAGAGCCTTAGCCACAGAGAAGGCTTTCTCTCCAGTGTCCCCACTAAATGTACCAGTAAGGTCTCTCAGAACATCTCAATACACAGGCAGGCCCATATGGGATAGTATGGTCCTTCAACTAGCCTGAGCCTGAGCAATGTAGGGCTTTATCAGTCAAAACCAACACTTTAAATTAAGCACAGAAGCAGGCTGACAGTTCAGTGGAGCTTCTGCAACAAGGGAGTTGTGTCCTCCCTCTCTAGACAGTCCCAGTTAACAATCTGGCTGTAGCTCTTAAGACCAGCTGAAGTTTCTGAATAGTCTTCAAAGCCAGCCCTAAGTAGTCAGTCCTCAGTAGCCATATATTCTGCATCCATGGATTCCACCATCCACAGCTTGAAGATTTTTTTTTCAGTTTCCAAAATGCAAATCTTGATTTTGCCATTTTATATAAAGGACACCATTTTCCTATGCCATTGTATATAACAAGACTTGAGCATCGATGGATTTTGTTACCCACATGGGGTCCAAGAACCAAACCCCAGCAGATACCAAGGGCCCACTGTAATCTAAATGGGAGGTAAGCAAGACATGTGTCACTGTGGCCAGATCCAACATATCTAAGAATGGGTGCCATCTTATATGTGTAAATGCATTCCTGGTCACCTCTAAAACCAGAGCTTCCAGGTTTAGGGCAGAATCTAGCTGTGCATCCAAGCTGCATCTTTAAGGGGAAAGTATTCCTATCTAGCAAAGGCTGAATTCCTGTTCCCCAATCTGCTTTCTAACTGACCAAGAGAACCTTTGTCTTCTCCAGATTAATGTTCAATTTGCTCACTCTTATCCAGCCTATTACTGATGACAGGCACTGGTTTAGAACCAAGACAGCATCCTTGAACTGAGTTCAAAAGGAATAATAGAACTGGTTGACATCTGCACGTTGTAGGCACCAGAACCCCAAAACTCTGGTCAGCCTCTGGAGTAAAACTTTAATTTTTTTTTTAAAAAAATGAGATTGTTTTTCATCTGATCATGAGTCCAATTTGCTTCTCTTTCATCCTATCGATATTCAGTGGATGCCAACAAAGGAAGATCAAGGAGACTCTTTCCGACCATGCAACAGGCTGAAGCAACTTGCTCCTGGCATCAATACTTGGTGGTTGTCATAGAGATAAAAGGCTGAAGTTTGGATTTGACTTTTTAAAAGCTGGTCCTAGCACAAGGATAGTGATTAATGCTGACCTCCAATTTGAGTAGCAAAATGTCCAGAGCTGGCATTTCCCCTCCTCCCCCATATGGGCCCATTTCATGCAACACAGCTATAGTGCTCTGATTCTATTTTGACTGCCATGGAAACATCCTAAATTATACTGGGATTTCCAGTAGTGGTTCGACTGTTGGGCTACAACTCTGGAGACCAGAGTTTGATTTCCAGCTTGGCCATGAAACCCACTGGGTGACCTTGGGCAACCACATACTCTCAGCCTCAAAGGAAGGCAATGGCAAACCTTCTCTGAACAAATCTTGCCAAGAAAGCCCCATGATAGGTTCATCTTAGGGTCGCATAAGCTGGAAATGACTTGAAGGCATGCAAGAAAGACAAACACACACACACTTAAAATTATCAGCCAGAACACCCCAGTGCCTCATCAAACTACAAAACCCAGGATCTGATAAGATGCAACCATGACAGTTAAAGTGGGATATATATGGAATATAACTGCCCAGTGTGGTCTACATTCAGGACTGTGTGAGTCCAAGGACCCCCTACAAGACTACTCCCTGTAAGAAAACCTCAGGAGAACCTCTGGTAGACTTCTGTGTTGACTTTTCTAGCTGACTGACTGGTTCTTCTCAATCTTGCAGTGATCAGTTACTGCCAGCTTGAAAGGAAAATGTTAGGGAAGGAAGAGGAATGGACTCTCTCAAACCTAGGTGATCTGGTGTGTTCAGAGCCCTTCTTTTTTTAATATGTTTTATAGTCCCCTACTGACTTTTGAAGGGCCTGGAGCAGGATGTAAGGAAGACATACCCTTAGGAATGAAACCATACCATAAGAAGTACTAGGCTGTAATTTATAGCAAGAGGAAAGGGAAAGTGGCAGGATTTGTAGCCCTCAACTCTCTAGACTTCTCTGGACCACTTAGGGTTTTGCAGCCTTGAGAAAAGATGAAATTATTTTCCTAAAAGTTTCCAGGAAACAGCAAATCATCTTTTAAATAGGTTATAAGGGACCCTGCACTGTGTTCTTCTCCCCTCTGTTTTTTAAAATGTTGGATTTCAAATCAAGAAGTGGGATGCTGGCCATTTCTGATTTGGTTTCATTTTGGAATTTTTAAAAATTAATTATTTTTTTCTCTGTAGCACCTATAGCATTCTCAAGGCAGAAAACATGACCCTCAGAAATACTACTGTTGAAGTTCTCAGGAACTTGTCAAGAATTGTGGGTTTGCCAGTGCTTCCCTCTGAGCCTGAGAGAGTGTCACTTGCCTGAGGTCATCCACTAGGTTTCCATGGTTGAGCAGGGATTCAAACCCTGGTCTCCAGAGTCATAGTCCAATGTTCAAACCACTATACCACACTGGCTAAAGGGTTTAGTGGTGCTTAATTTCCTATCATACACATACCATTTTTTTATTACTCCTTTTGCTTCCTCCATGGGGACATGCCTGTTTTTCAGTTGCAAAGGTGATGGCAATTTTCAGAATTGTCTTTAAAAGAAAACAAGAGGACAAAAGACCCTTCCTGAGCGTTCACCAAGTCATCAACTAACAGTTTGTTTTTCTGCACATTATAAATGAATGTGGAATGGGTAACAAAGCTTTCCCCTAACTTCTACTGTCATGTGATGTATATTCTCTGCACAGGGGCAGCATGATTGACTGTCTGCAGAAGCAGGGAACCGAAGGACAGGTGCTAAAAGAAAAGACTTCGAAATGAAAGAAAAATCATCAAGTGAATTCTTCCCTGCACAGATGTAGCAGGCAGCATCTTTCCTGTGCAACCCCCTCCCCTTCCTATTTTTGTAGCAGCAACAGTGAAAAGAATGTTTGAAAGGTTCTTTAGCAAAGATGGGAACAATGAACCTTGAAACTTGGCAACAAGCTCCGGCTAGGTAGCTCACGCAATGGATGCCGTGTCAAAATATGCATACAGCCTGCCACTTTTAATCACAGGCTCCCCTGTTAGAACAAATGGTGTGTACTGGAGCTTTTAAAGAGGGGTTGCAGAGTGGAGAGACAATGCAATTTTTGAAACCGTTCCTTGTAAATAACTTGATAACATTTTGGCTTCAATCAACCGGCCAAGTAGAGCAAACTACGTCTCCTCCCGCCCTCCTACTTAGAAAGAGAGAGAGAGGGAGAGAGGCCCATGTCTGCTAACTGCTTTGGTGAAGAATAATTAATTAATTAATTTTATGCCTCCTCTCCCCCCCCCCCCAGTATGGGACCCAAGCCAGCTCATACCAAATAAGAACAAAGTACTGCTAAAACAATATTAAAGATTTTGCATATTTTAGCTGTTGTTAACTGCTCTCAAGTCAACTGGTATGATGCAGAAGCTAAAAAAGCCAATGTGATTCTAGGCTGCATCAACAGAATTATAGTGTCTAGAAGATTGAGGAAAGAAATAGTGCTGCTCTATTCTGCTTTGGTCAGGCCTCATCTGGAATATTGTGTCCAGTTCTGGGCACCACAATTCAAGAAGGATATTAACAAGCTGGAGCATGTCCAGAGAAGGGTGACCAAAATAGTGAAAGGTCTGGAAAGTGTGCCCTATGAGACGCAGCTTAGGGAGCTGGATATGTTTAGCCTGGACAAGAGAAGGTTATGGGGTGACATGATAGCCCTGTTTAAGTGTTTGAAAACATTTGTCATATTAAAGGTGGAGCGATGGCTTGAAACTACAGGACAAAAAATTCTACTTCAACATTAGGAGGAACTTTCTGATGGTAAGAGCTTTTCAACAGTGGAACACAAGTCTTATTCTGAACTTTAAAAGGACAACATCAGGTCTACACTATACAAAACACTGCAGGCTACTCCCAGAGTATTCGGGCTTCAAAGCTGCCCCAAATTCTCCCATTACCTGGGCACTCCTCAGTGACTCTGGGGGGCTGCTACATGCATGTCCTACAGTGTCATGCAGTGCCATCAATGCAGGTGCAAGTCACTTGCTCTGAGGTTGAAAACAAGGTGCCCAATGTCAATCGCATGGCTGGATGCATCCATGTGGCTAACCTCAGAGAGCAATTCATGCCAGCAGCAGTGGTGCAGAACAGCCTAGCAGGGCATGCATGTAGACAGCCACCCAACATCACTGTGGATATGTGGAAGAAAAAGTAAGTTCTTAAAAATTTGATTTAATGGAGGGATTATCTAGATCCGGTATAGAACTGGCCTTTCTGTGTTAAAATAATCTGCATATGAATTGGGGATTTGGCCCTGCTTTGTGTGGTTAGGGTGATGTGAGGGCATGGGGAAAATGGTGTAAATGGCCCGAGTAGCCATACCCCAAATGGAAAACCTCAGAACAGGTGCAGCACCTTCAGTAGATTCTTTGAAGTTCAGAAGAAGAAAAAGGCCAGAGGAGATTCAGCAGCAGCACCACCACCATCACCACCCCATTATGAAAGCCACCAAACATCACTGCTGGTTTTACTATTTTAAGCCATGGAGAAGGCAGGAGATGTTTGAATATGCCTGCATATACCCAGAAAAAAGGCCTCCACCAGCTCTAGTCTACCAAATTGACATCCTGGAACTCAGCATTAGTTGTTCCCTCACTGTGTTCTGTATTAAATTAGTTGCTCAGCATCTTCTTAATCAGAGGATTCATTTATGAATGGCTAATTGAAAGTCTCCTGGCTTGATCAGATTAGCAGATTGTGTTTTGAGTAAAGCATATTTATTAAGACCTGTTCTTGGGTTCATTCCGAGTTCATTACACTGGAAGGGATTTATGGTTTCTTTATGTTTCAGGCTCAGTGGCCATAGATTTAAAAATAAACTTCGGGAACTGATTCATAAATTTATTTCAGCTCAGCCACAGTCTTTTCGTTGCCTATCTTCTTCCTTATTAGGTGGATCTGGCATCCCATCTTCCAGCCTGGAAAGCTGGTTCTCGGCACGTTCTAGCAGTGAGCTGGCAATGAAATTTTAAATATGTAAACAAGAAAAAAACAAACCCAAATATCCAATCAACAGTACTCAGCCTCCAATGTCTGTCTGTGCAGAAGTCCAACAGCCTTCTTTTTTCTTTTGATTTTTCACAGTGATAATCCAATGTTCCATTTAAAGAGTTTGGAAATGGGATTTTTTTTAAAAAATCATATAGATTTAAAATCCTCCCAGAATCCCATACAGGCTGGGGATTCTGGAATTTGTTGTCCAAAAAACAAGGAGTCTTTCCAGTTGTTGTTCTGTGCCTTCAAGTATTTGGTGACTTATGGTGAACCAAAGGCAACTGTATCATGGGGTTTTCTTGCCAAGATTTGTTCAGAGGGGCCTTGCCTTTGCCTTCTTCTGAGACTGAGAAAGTGTGACTCACCTAAGGTCACCCAGTGAGTTTCCACAGTTAAGCAGGGATTGAAATCCTGGTCCGCAGAGTCTTAGTTCAATACTCAAATACTACACCACACTGATATAAATATTTCCAGGTTCTGATATAAATAGACAAACAATGTTCTAAGAAATCTACGGCTGACATCCTGTTAGTGATATAAAATGAAAAATTACATTTTTTTCTTCCTCTTCTTCTTCATCATAAGTCTTTTTCATCTGTCTTCTACCTATGTCGCCGTCTTCTTCTTTTGAGCTACTTTTGCACTTTGAATTCAGTGTGCAACAATTGAAATAAGTTGAGTGGGAAAGAGGAAGGTGGGAGGAGGAAAGGGAAACTGAGACATTTTCAAAGCAGCTGGAAAAAATGGGATGACAGAATATTAATCTATCCCAAATCATGATAGTTGGAGGCTACAAGGTTGGTGGTTGTATGTAAGTAATAACCTCAATAGAGGGACCTTTCCACAAGCACAGAACTGGAAGCCTCTGGTCCATGGATCACATATGGCTTCTTGGGACTTTTTGCATCTCTGGGAGCCTTCTTGGCCCTTCAATCCTTCCCTGCAGAAAAAGAATGCTATTTCTGCCCCTGAAAAACCTCCAAGAACACTTTTTCTCCCTTTAAAACAAGATTAAGGGAACCCTGTAGACAGTGGTGGCTGGTGGGATCCATGTCAGTGGAGTGATCAATCTATTCTGGAGTTTAGTCTGAACTTAAAAAAAAAAAAAACTATCCAAGATGCTGAAGCTATTTTGAAGATAGGGCATTGTACTTTGGAGAACCTTTTTGAAAGTTCAAACTAAAACCCAGAGCAAATTAATCACCACACTGATATAGAAAGCACCTCTATCACATTTGGCACCAAAAAGCTTTTTTAAAGTTTTTAAAAAATAGGAAGCAGACTTCACCCAGAGGCCCAAAACTGATCCATAAACCTCTAAGAGCATAAACACATCTTGTGATAGCTGGAGTCAGATCCTGGATCCAATCTCACACTCTTCTTCTTCTTTTCTCATCTACAGCTCTTTAGATTTCTTAAAAGGTCACATTAATAGTATTCATATCAAATAGGTAGCAAACCTAATTACAAATGTAAGATTCAGTACTACAAGGGAATGGAAATTATTTGAAGGGCTGCTCATTACTGCAGATTGAATCAAGCTTGGAAAGATATATAGATGAATGAAACGACCATGCTGGAAAATGTCAAGGGAAGCAATATAATTCAACACACTCACACACATTGTCAAGGCCTATTTATTCCATGGCATGTGACTACCTTGGATTTAATTTATGAGCACAAGTATATAGTATTTTCAACTGTACATGTAACGCATCTGAGCTTTTAGAAATATAGTTTAGGTATCCAAAGAAGAGGGTCAGGCAGAGTGACTGGAGCAATGTGCACACAGCAAACGTAAATGTTAAAACTAAATTAAATTAACATTTCACTCTCTGTGATGTTAGAAATTTGGGACTGGAGGAAAACTCTGTTGAGGGAAGAGGACTCTCAGAGAAGGTGTGAACTATTTTCAAAGTATCATTATCTGCAGTGCTAGGAATTTGGGGGTTGAAGGGTTATTTCAAAAGAAAGGGGTCAGAATTCTTATTTGGGGAGCTATGCCCTCATTCAGCCCCTCTCCAATACCTACACCCTTGGGCAAAAGGCTAGGACTTGCATCTATTAGAAATCAAGAATTTGAATTGCTCAGTTCAGTCTTGCTCCTGGAGTCTCATTTAGCAATAAAATTGCCCACCCTCTTGGGAAACACTGAGCCAAACCGAGCAATTTCTCTACCTTTCTTTTTCCCTCTTTCAGCACAAACTTTCCCTTCACCCATTCCTCCCTGTCGAATCAAAACCTGCATACACACACACACACACACACACCAGCTTCATCCCTTGCCATTCTATTCCAAAACTGCTTAATGGGCAGAACTTTCTCCCAGCCTTGCTATCGGATCTTGGCAGAGTGGCAGCCTTGCTTTGAAAGGACTCTTCATTTTCTGCTCTGACATGGA